TCCCATGTGATACTGGATCTGGTGGGCCTGCCTGTGCGTTTGCTGGTACAGTGGTTCCACGTCGCCGGCCCAGCCGTGTCCGGCTCCGGCTTCCTCCAAACCTGTTTCTGCTTCTTTATTGTGTCCCTTATGTATGCGAGGAGTTGAAATCTGCATTCTGCTGGGCTGGGCTGCAAAAGTGTTGGTGGTTCTCTTTGTGTCATTAGCACAGCTTGGTTGAGGATGTAATTTGAGTAGGGCGGGGTCCCCGGGAATCACCAGGGCGGGGCCAAGGGCAATGGCGTCTCCGCTTCTACTAGCCACTCTGCAACCCAGCAACTCGCGTCCCCGAGTGCTGGCGAGCAGTTCTGTGAGACAGCCACTCTCGCTCTCCAGGTCTCTCCGGGTCATTGCAAGGCCGTCCCGCTTCTCTCCGTAGGGGTCTGGGAGCTTAGTATCCCGCCCCAACCACGCTCAGTGGATTTGATAGTCCGCCTCCCCTTCTGGTTGAAAAAAACTGTGCATCCAGTTGCAGCCAGCCTGGCACGCGATTCCGTACCTCCGTTCTTGGAGCCTCTGCACAACCTACTCAGTCTCAATGCTCTTCTTTCTTTCCTTCCAGTTGTAGAGCTTCCACAGGCTAGCTTTCCCATGGTTCTGAATGACAGCTGTTTCTTTTATAGTTGGTAGTCTCGATGTTGTTGTGGCAGACAACACGCACAGGTCTGTACCTTACGCCGCCATCTTGGTTCCTCTAGCTAGCATTCTTTACAATTTATAAAAGACCATATGACAGTACCACATATCACATTTATGCTTGTGAAAGTACCCATGCTTAAGCTGTTATACTTCTGTGATCCTGAGTTACTTCATACCCTGTTAAAATTTTTCATTTTTCTCTACTGCTAGACTTTATTGTCATATCTATTAAAACCAAACTGGAAGGGCAAATGTACACACACAATTTCTTTTAATCTTGATGTACTCTTGTAAGCAAATACACACCATGCTACATTTGTTTTTTGCTAAAATTATGAGTTAATCTTGTCATCCAAAGATAGATAACAAGATCTGTAACAGCCACCCACTAAATTTTTTTTTTGCCAGCACAATGAATGAAGAAATCTTTAAAGCTCAACTGCTTCAATCTCTCTTTCTGCACTAAAATAGAGTTTTTTATTCTTCTCTAAAACAGAGTTTTTAGGCAGGGAGGGAAGGAGAAAAATTAAGAGTGATCAGCACGAAGGTCAGTTAAACAGATTAAGAGTCAATAATTAAACCAAAGGTAAATTAGAATTCTTTAGCTCAAGCACCTCCCTGGAATTGTCCATAAGGCTTCAGAAGATTCCAAACTCAAATTTAGGAAACATTAATCAATTTTATAACCTTATTTTTCTTTTTAAAAAAATACTTTTATTGATTTCAAAGGGGAAGGGAGAGGAAGAGGGAGATAGAAACAATGATGACAGAGAATCATTGATCGGCTCCTCCTACATGCCCTCTACTGGGGATTGAGGCAGCAACCCAGGCATGTGCCCTGACCGGGAATCGAACTGTGACTTCCTGGTTTATGGGTTGACACTCAACCACTGAGCAACACTGGCCAGGCTAACCTTATTTCTTAAAAAGTTCACAATTTAGGATGAAAATCAATGTCCCATGTAGTGACATGATATACTGTCATTTCAATTAATCTACTCAAGTTCTACTGAAATACTGCCCTGCCATTGAAAAAGTGTCACTTTAAACTGCCTTTCTTGAAAAATAAGAACATTATAAATGAAGACCATAAGCCTTTTTAAACTACTGCCTACCTTTTCCAATGACTCTTTAAAAATAAGCCCTGATCACTACTTTAATCAATTCAATACTCACATCTTGATTATATTCCAAGAAGACATGGAAATTTAAATCTTTTCTCAAAATAGGATGTGCTGCCACACGACACAGGAATACTTCATGCATTGCAACAGTCTTCTTGAATATTGCCAAGTATTCACTAGAAACAATACACAAAATTAAAGGTAAAACACTGCATCATTTAGAAAATCATCTGCATATTTTCAGCAAGTAATCTTTAAATTATTCTAAATGCAAAATTAGAGATACAATCCAAGTAAACAAAGGTTTTAGTTGAATTGTTAATATATAAAACCCAGCTCTGAAAAGACTTCATGCTAGTTAATAGTACTTATTATAGTTAAATGTTAATATTTTTGGTTTTATGAACCTTTCTTCCTATGCAAGTTGATTTTAAAGATAACTATAGGGATGTTTGTTTTCAGCTTCAGAGAAAGTATACTACAAATTATTGGGTACAATTTTACTGATTCAATTTCTAGATTTAATTAATACTTTTAAACACCTTCATATAAAAAAATATCAAAACCCAAATCTAAGTAAGCATATTTTCAACATTAATACATATTTTCTTCTAATGACCCAGAAACACAAGAAAGAAACACACCACACAGAGACTAATTTTTACCATTACATCGAAGAACTGTGTTTAAAATATTTTAATATCAGTGAATCATAGCGATCATACAGTAATACATGTCAGTTTGAAGAAAAAAAAAAACACTTAAGGAAAAGGCCCAATATTCTTGCTTCAACTACGTGCAAGGAGGATAAGTTTTACATACCAGCAAACCAGCAGGACCAGTGTTGGGAGAAGTTTGATCTCTGTGAGGGTAGTCATTCAGTGAAGACAAAAAAGAAGGATGCAGAGGATGGAGGTAGCAGTAGAATAAACCCAAGGTTCTCTGTTATCCAACCCCTAACCAGACCACAAAAGAATCATGATCAGGGCCACTGGAAAACCACAGATTCTTCAATATTAATGTGCTCTGCTAATTTCCAGTTTTCAGTCTTATAAACTATAAAACTATGTATCTTCTATCAGACTATTTGCTTGCACCCAGCATTGACAGAATTCTTAAAATATCTGTCATCATATACTTTGACAAAGAAGAGCTACTTTGCAATTTATCTTGTCAAGAACTTAGTATTCTGAAAAGGACTCTAGCAGCAGTGTGAATATATGCTTATAACTGAATCTAAGTGGAAGAGGAGGAAGGAAAAGCATGAAGGGGAGAAGTAACCAGAAAAAGAATGATGAGGGGGATGACAATGCAAGAAAAATTATTTCCTTGTAAGATTCTCAAAATACAGAAAAACAATATACAGCAAATCCAAAATTACTTCAAATATTTAATAAAAGGGAAAGTATTTTGTATTTTCAACAAATATGTTAAAAATGAAATGGAAAGCCCAGCCAGTGTGGCTCAGTGGTTGAGTGTTCATCTATGAACCAGGAGGTCATTGTTCGATTCCAGCCTGGGCACATGTGAAGGTTGTGGGCTTGATCCACAGTGTGTGGGGCGCATGTAGGAGGCAGCCAATCAATGATTCCCTCTCATCATTGATGTTTCTCTCTCTCTCTCTCTCCCCCCGCTTCCTCTCTGAAATCAATAAAAATTTTTTAAAAAAGGAAATATCTCAAATTTTCAAAGATTTAATACATTTCTAGTATATATGGAGCTAATTATTATATAACAAAAAACATTTTTAAACTACTCTTTTGTTACTTTCCTCCTATTTTATTCTCTTCAGCCAGAAGCTATAGGCAGAGAAGAAGGGAGAAATCTGTCTCTCACATGCACACACACTTAAAAAAAGAACAGGATATGTGCAGAATTGCTCAGTGAATACTTCTATGAGAAACAGAAATTTTGGTAGTATGCACATGTCGAAAAAAGATCACCAGGTTGCCCTAGCCGATTTGGCTCAGTGGACAGAGCACTGGCCTACAGACTGAAGGGTCCCTGGTTCAAGTCTGGTCAAGGGCACATGCCCGGCTTATAGGCTCGATCCCCAGTGGGGGGTGTGCAGGAGGCAGCTGATCAATGATTCTCTCTCATCATTGATGTTTCTATCTCTCTCTTCCTACCTCTCTGAAATCAATAAAAATATATTTTTTAAAGAAATCACCAAGTTGCTAATGACTAAGACCTTATAAATAAAAAACTAGTTTATTCTGCTTTAAAAAGTCATTATTTTTCATAAAGTTTTGAACCCTCCATTACTAATTTTCAGTTCTGTTTGAACCATTAATTTAAAGAATTTTACAATGTAGACAATTATTCTATAATTTTCCTGTAGGCTCTGATCATGACTGTTAACACTGGTTGTGTGACTTAAACTTGCATCTTCCAGAAAGGGTCACTGTAGTGAAATGATTAAAAGGATGGGATATTGGAGAGCACACACACACACAAAAATAAATAAAATTAAAAAGGGGATTAAAACAAGCACAATTAACAAAAGCAACAAAAATCACATACGCTTCCAGTTCCTGTTTCATCTTTGTGAATTCCTCCTTTGTCATGGACCCTTCTCCTTCGCCAAGCTTCTGTAGTTTTTCCCTTGAGGCATCAAAATCAGGTCTTGGTGGTGCTGGTGGGATCTGTAATAGAACCAAATCACTAACTTTAAAGACTATTTTATTTCTTGCAGCAGTTGTACTATAGCCACCATAAAAGACTGTGAATTAGAAGTGGGCACCAGTAATATCCCAAGTCAGGTTAGAGAATTTTATTAGGTCTAGAAATTCAAATCCTTGAAACCATTTATACCAAGAAAGAAATATAGCAGGGCATTATTTTCTAGTATTATCTGTCTCTCACATGCACACACACTTAAAAATAAGAACAGGATATATGCAGAATTGTGGGAGACAGCACAGTAGTTCATATAGGTACATAAAGCTCTGATTACACACTAAGTAAATATGTATAGCAAATATGCATATCATTTTCAAAAGGATGTAAATGGTATAATACAAATACATTTTTTTCCTTTCTTTTTTTAAAAAAATATATTTTATTGATTTTTTACAGAGAGGAAGGAAGAGAGATAGAGTGTTAGAAACATTGATCAGCTGCCTCCTGCACACTCCCCACCGGGGACGTGCCCGCAACCAAGGTACATGCCCTTGACCGAAATGGAACCTGGGACCTTTCAGTCCACAGGCCGATGCTCTATCCACTGAGCCAAACCGGTTACGGCACAAATACATTTTTTAAATTAATGAATTCATAGTACCTTTATGCTATTCTGTGTTTTTAAAAATTAATGAATGCTAACAGTAAGATCAAGCAAGGGATGTTAAAGTGGGTTCCTGGATTGGAGCAGTGTACTAGAAGCAGAAAACACTGGCTTAAAAACAGGAAGATAACAAGACACACTAATCTCATTCTATTCACCCACAGTAAGGGGGTAAATAAGCACTTACCTTAACTGGAAGAGAAATATCATTCAAGAAAGGGTATAAGAAAAAAGGAGGAAGGGCCTGTAAGAACTGTTAAGGGGAAATGATGGAAATTAAAGAGAGCAGGTAAGATACAAGGGAGAAAAATTAAGTAAGGGAAAAGTTAAATAAAAATGACTGCAAGAAAATGATTATATCAAGGAAAACAATAGGGGAAGAAGCATCAAGTATAGTCAAGCACATGTTTGTTCATGTTTGCACATGGCATCTACTATGTGCCAGGCATGATGCGGAGCAATGGACATATAAAAATATGTCCAATCTTGATCTTTGAGGAGTATTTAGTCTCTAGAAGGAGAAAGTAGTAAGAAAACGCTATCAGACAAGAAGATGAGAGGGGAAAAAGGTGGAAATAGGACAGGAAGAGAAAGAGGAGCTTCCAGGTTGGTGAACATATTGACATGCTGGGAAGGGGAAGGAGGGGCACCTAGAGAGGGCCTGAAAGCTCTGTGCCCACCCCACATCCCCATACCTTGTCCTCTAGATGTCTTCCATTTGGTTGTTCCTGAGTTGTTGTATACTTTCTATAAACTGGTAATTGTAAACAACAACAACAACCTCCAAAAGAATGCACTGCCAATTGTAGAAAGGGAAGCAAATGACTGAGGAGTGGTCATGAGGATGAAGATGGAATCAGGTCAGGATGATTTCAATGGCATTTGAGTGTGGTTAACAGCTAAGGCACAACATATGGTACATATTTAAATTAGATAACCTCTTAAACAGCCTCCAACTCTAAATTTAATCTACCTACCTAAGGGTTCAAAACTAGTATGGTTTGTAACACCCCCTTAATGAATCCCTAGGACAAGCCCATTACAATTCCAATATACAGTAAGAATTTAAGTTTAAATAAGGTAGCATAACATATCCACACTCCCAAACAAGACAATTGAGAATTAAAGGTGGTAACCAATTAGGTTTTGTAACTGGCAATTTTTGAAAATTACATTACTTCATTAAAAATGCTAAATAAGATTTCAACACAAAGTATCTAAAACACTCCTAAAAATGGGATTAAAATGGAACCTCAACACTTACAATGTAACCTGCATAGTCTTCATTTTCAACAAAGGAATCATGAAGCCAGATAAATTCCTCATGTTGTCGAACGACGGAAAACTCATTTTGTTTAAAATTTGGCAATGAACTCTGCAAAGATAGAAATTCTCTTGAATAAAAATAAAAATTACATTAAAAAGCTTTTAATAAACATTTCACCATTACTTAAAAAGTTATTCATTACTAGATATCAAACTCAACTATGCAAACAAAAGGAAATAGATCTACAATCTGAAAATGTGCCTGAAAGCTGAAATTTAAAATGAAAATAATTCATAAGACAGCAATTTGATTAACTAAAGGAACACAACAAAACTAAAAACAGCACTGACAATATAATAAAAGCCCAGCAACTGAAACAGCAGAACAATCAGAATCACAGATCAGAACGACCATGGCCCCTTGCCCCGGCTGGCCCCGCCACCCAGCTAGCGGTTAGGGGCGATGAGGCAGGCAGGCGAGTGGTTAGGGGGGATGAGGCAGGCAGGCAGGCAGAGGCAGTTAGGGGCGATGAGGCAGGCAGGCAAGTGGTTAGGGGCGATGAGGCAGGCAGGCAAGTGGTTAGGGGCGATGAGGCAGGCAGGCGAGTGGTTAGGGCCAATGAGGCAGGCAGGCAAGTGAGTAGGGGTGATGAGACAGGCAGGCAGAGGTGGTTAGGGGCGATCAGGCAGGCAAGATGAGTGGTTAGGGGCGATCAGGCAGGCAGTCAGGCAGAGTTGTTAGTGGCGATCACGTAGGCAGGCAGAGTGGTTAGGGGCAATCAGGCAGGCAGGCAGACGCGGTTAGGGGAGATCAGGCAGGCAGGCTAGCAGATAGGGGCCAGTGGTCCAAGATTGCAAGAGGGATGTCTGACTGCCAGTCGGACATCCCCCAAAAGGTCCCAGATTGCGAGAGGATGCAGGCCAGGTTGAGGCCCCTCCCCCTGCCCCATGCACGAATTTCATGCACCAGGCCTCTAGTATATTAATAAAAGTCTAGAGAAAATTAAATTTGCATTATGTCTAGGTCCTATGATTCATTCTTTTTGTGTGTATGTGTGTTCCAATAAAACTTTATTTATAAAAACAGGAGGTAAGCTAGATTTGGCCTGAGGACCCTAATTTGATGAGTCATCATCTATAGTAATATCTTTACATATCTTCTCTCTCTTCACAATAGGTTGCCAAAGGAGTGAAGTGAATAAATCACATTCAGAAGAACACACCTTTTCACAGGAAGTACAGACTAATGCGGGAAACATCATGTTGACCCTTTAACCATCACAAACTCTACTACATGTCAATGACAATTGAGAGGTGTTTGCTTAGGGAAGAAAGTTCTTCTATTAGTATAATATGTGTGCGCTGTGTCTACATATTCAAACACTGAGAATTTTACTACAAGCTCCATCTCTATGCAAATGGCATTGTTTTGTTTTTTTCAACTACTCATGTTGTAAGTCACTTTTAATTCCACACCCGAGGATATGTTTTTATTGATTTTTTTTTTCCAGAGAAAGAAATAGAGGGGTTTGGGGAGGGAGGGAAGGAGATACCCAAGGAAGAAGCATCAATCTGTTGCCTCCTGACTGGGGATCAAACCCAAAACCTTTTAGTGTATATGGAACTATGCTCCAACTAACTGGCCACCAGGCTAGGGTGTAAGTCACCTTTCATAGTCTGTGTAAAACTCACCCGGCCAGTGTGGCTCAGTGGTTGAGCATTGACCTATGAACTAGGAGGTTACGGTTTGATTCCCCGTCAGGGCACATGCCCGGGTTGTGGGCTTGGTCCTCAGTGTGGGGTCTGCAGGAGGCAGCTGATCAATGATTTTTTCTATCTCTGATGTTCCCTATCTCTCTTTCCCTCTCCCTTCCTTTCTGAAATCAATAAAAATATTTAAAAAAAAATATATTTTATTGATTTTTTACAGAGAGGAAGGGAGAGGGATAGAGAGTTAGAAACATCAATGAGAGAGAAACATCAATCAGCTGCCTCCTGCACACCCCCTACTGGGGATGTGCCTGCAACCAAGGTACATGCCCTTGACCGGAATCGAACCTGGGACCCTTCAGTCCGCAGGCTGACGCTCTATCCACTGAGCCAAACCGGTTAGGGCAAAATATTTTTTTGAAAAATAAAATAAAAACATGCTTTAAAAATTGCGTAAAAGCATTCTAATTAGATATACACATGTATGTTTTAGTTCCCTCCACAAACATGATTTATATACATAATGTTGAGAAATCTTAAGAGGCAAACTCCTCAGCAAATTAGCAAATTCTTAAGTGTATCAAATACAATGCAAGATTGAAACCTAGTTAAAATCTTAGAAATGTTGTAGTCCCTTTAGGGAGAAAAAAAGTCATTATGTTATAGTGTGTGTGTCTGCTTATTACTGTGAGTCACTTGGTTTTGACTACTCATGCAATTCATATAGTGGATTTTGTTAGTGCTGTGCACTAAATATTCCTAGCATATAGCAGAATTGCACTCTGTGCCCCCTTTAAAGAAAAAAAAAAAGAACTTTAAATTTCATTTTTCAATTACTGTTTACATTCATTATTATTTTACATTAGTCTCAGGTGTATAGCCTAGTGGTTAAACAATCATATATACTTTACAAAGTGTTCCCCCCAATATTTTTAGTGCCCACCTGGCACCATACATATTTATTACAATATTATTGACTATACTAGAGGCCCAATGCACGAAATTCATGCAAGGGGCTCGGCCCTCGCAGCCCTGGCTTCATCTGGAAGGTTGTCCGGAAGGTTGTTCAGCTGTCCGATCTAATTAGCATAGTACACTTTTTTAAAAAAAATATATTTTATTGATTTTTTACAGAGAGGAAGGGAGAGAGATAGAGAGTTAGAAACATCGATGAGAGAGAAACATCGATCAGCTGCCTCCTGCACATCTCCTACTGGGTAAGTGCCCGAAACCCAGGTACATGCCCTTGACCGGAATCGAACCTGGGACCTTTCAGTCCGCAGGCCGACACTCTATCCACTGAGCCAAACCGGTTTCGGCAGTACACTTTTATTATTATAGATTTCCTATGCTGTACTTTTACACCCCCATAACTATTTTGTAACTACCAATTTGTACTTAATCCCTTCACCTTTTCACAAAGTCCCTCAACTCTCATTTGCTATGGCAACCATCAGTTTGTTCTCTGTTTGAGTCTCTTTCAATTTTTGTTTGCTTATTTTTTTCTTTAGATTTCACATATAAGTGAAACCATATGTGACTTATTTCTCTGACTTATTTCATTTAGCACAATACCCTCTAGGTCCATCCCTGCTGCCACAAATGGTTAAGATTTCATTCTTTTTATGACTCATTCTTAATGTTAATCTTTAAAAAACACATTTCCTAAAAAAAAAAAAAAAATCCCATTTACTATTGCAACAAAAATTAAGATACCTAGGAATAAACTTAACTAAGGAGGTGAAAGACCTGTACTCCGAAAACTACAGGACACTGAAAAAAGATAGAGCAAGATATAAACAAGTGGAACAATATAAATATACCATGTTCATGGATTGGTAGAATCAACATAATTAAAATGTCCATACTACCCAAAGCAATCTATAGATTCAATGCAATTCCCATTAAAATACCAACAGCATATTTTACAGAGCTAGAATAAACTCTGCAAAAATTTATATGGAATAAAAAAGAACCTGAATAGCCGCAGCAATCCCGAGAAAGAACAAACTTGGAGGGATCACAATACCAGATATCAAGCTATGTATGTTACAAAGCCACTGTTCTCAAAACTGCCTGGACCCCCGGTGAGGTTGAAACAGCCCCGGTGAGGTCGGGACGACCCCGGTGAGGTTGAAACGGCCCCGGTGAGGTCGGGACGGCCCCGGTGAGGTTGAAACGGCCCCAGTGAGGT